GCCTCGCTCCGAGCCGGCTGCTCCCGGCGGCTCCCGCCCTGCGTGCTGCCCGGGCGGCTTACGTAAAGCTCGGTTATGCAATTGCATTGTTAGTGATTGCTCCGGGAGCCGGACTCTACACTCACCGGGAACGTGTATTTTTTAAAACGAGCGTTGAGAGTATATTGCTTTGTGATGTTTCTCGATATTTTTATACAGTCTCTGCTTTGGCCAAAATATTTTTTTTTAACGTGCACTTCAGAGAACTGTAAACGCAAGGTATGAACGGTTATTTTTATCTTCAAGCAGTACTTGAAACAGGTTGTATTTCGTTATCTGCAGACTTTGTCCAGTCTAGGTTTTTCCATCTGCTGATCATTTTTAGCGTAGCACATCCCTGTGTTAAGTATAAGCAGGATTGGTGAGGGAGTACACAGACCTTAGAGGTTGAAGCATGCCTGAAAGACAGCCTAACTTCAAGCAGCCTAACTTGGCTTGAAAGAGACTGAGGATCTCTCGTTACCCATTGGTTTTCATCTGAGAAGAGAGACCAAGAGTTGGTACCTGTCAAGAGTCCAGATCTCTGTCCCCTACACTTAAAAGAAAGTGTGGACTCTCCACTCCTTTCTGGTAGGAAATGAGACGCTACACTACCGTACTAGCGCGAGGAAAAGCTTTTTCTTTCTTTTTCTTGCAGTATTGGGGATTGAATCCCAGGCCTCACAAGTGCTAGCAAGTGCTCTGTTGCTCCAGCCCTGTGTTAGGTTGTATTATAACAGGACCTGGCTAAGTTGTCCAGGCTGGGGCTCAAACCTGTGATCCTTCTGCTTCAGCCTCCTGAGTGTTTGGTATCGTAAGCGGGTATCCCCACCCCCCAAAAAGCACTGTTTTTGCAGGCCGTCCTCTCTCGTGTTGGCTGTTGGCTATGTGGGAAGACTGTAGGACCCTGTCTTCCTCCCAAGCCCAGGGCTTCTCTTTGGCTTTCAAATATATTGCAGCTTAGGGCTTGGTGGAAATGATGTCTCCTTCACCTTACCGGGCTCCAGTGCTCCACTACCAAGCCTGAGAGAAGGAGGAAAAAGATTTTACTGCCATCGCCGTGAAGTATGGGTCCGCCTGAGTGTAGCTGAACTTTCTATAGGTTTCTAACTTTGGATGGTAAGAAATACGACAAGATATGTTCTGATCTTTAATCTTTTGTTCTTATAGGAGGAACGAACGGAAATGATTTCTGCAAAGTCCAAAGACAGTGTGTACTTCTGGAATAAAACTGCAGAGAAAGGCGACTATGAGGCTGTGGAAGCTCTCATGACCATGAGCTGCAGTTGGAAGTCTGATTTTAAGAAATACCTAGAGAACAGACCCGTCACACCAGCGTCAGACACATCAGAGGAGGAGGGCCTGCGGCCTGGGACCCCCGACTTCCACGCCGTCCCCACCTTTGTGAGTACTGCTGTTGCTAAGCTAGCTGCAGATTATGGGATCGCTCTTGATTTGCACTTGGAGCTCTAAGTTTCTCATGCTGTTGCCTATGTCTTTTCTGCCTAGTGTCTGACACCACCCTACAGCCCCTCTGACTTTGAATCCCCTCATGTGTCGACTCTCATGGCACCTGACCTACCTGCTGGACATTTTGGGCCACTGTCAGACCTTGCCAAACTCTACCCCGCTGCACCTTTCAAAGAGGAAGACAAGAGCTGGGCACCTGTGCCCAGACGCCCCAAGGCACAGGCGACAAGTGTGATCCGGCACACAGCCGACGCCCAGCCCTGCAGGCACCGCACCTGTCCTGTGAAGGCTGCCAGCACCCTCCACTTCCAGGATGGCTCTTTCCAGAGAAGGCCCCACCTGAGCGTCGAGGTTGCAAGGAAGAGCGTGCCCTGCGCAGCGGTGTCACCCAGCAGAGCCAAGTGCGAGCCCGGTGCGCCGGCAGATGCCAGCGACAAGACGGGCCCCGCCCCGGTCGGCCCCGCTCCACCTTCCCCAGATTCAGGGCTCCCCAGGCCCCTGCCAAGCCCTGCATCCCCGCAGCACCCAGTGGTGGTCTCTCCGCCCGAGTCCTCCCTGGGGAGTGTGCCACCGCTGCCAGTCATCTGCCAGATGGTCCCCCTGCCCTCGCACAGCCCAGTGGTGACGACCGTGGTCCCCAGTGCCCCACCCAGCCAGCCGCCCACCGTCTGCCCACCAGTGCTGCTCATGGGCACCCAGGTACCCAAGGGCGCCGTCATGTTCGTGGTGCCCCAGCCGGTGGTGCAGAGCCCAAAGCCGGCGCTGAGCCCACATGGCACCAGACTGTCCCCCATTGCACCCGCGCCCGGGCTCGCCCCCTCAGCGGCCAAGGTCACGCCGCAGGTGGACTCTGCCAGAGTCCGGAGCCACATCTGCAGCCACCCAGGCTGTGGCAAGACCTACTTCAAGAGCTCCCACCTGAAGGCCCACATGCGGACACACACAGGTACAGCCCTGTGCTGTGCACGGCGTTAGGGTACAGGTGCAGGCGGGGAGGGGGCGCAGTGTCTGCACAGAGAGGTGCATGTCTGGCATCCCAGCCCCTGGGAGGCCCACGCAAGAGCAAGAGGGTCTCAAGTTCCATCCCGGTCCAGGCCACTTAGTGACTGAACCAGACCTGGGATGTAGATAGAGTGCAGGCCTAGAAGGTGCTGGTTGTGATTACACACGCAGAGCAGACATCTTGGGGAAGGGTGGCTCTGTGTCCCAGCGCAGGGGCAGAGACTGCCCGGGTCAAGGGCCAGGAGGTCTCAGGGCTCGTCCTGTGATGCAGAAGAGCGACTGGACAGCTGAGGGCTGAGTGGAGGGTCCTCGGAGCTGTTGAGATGGGCGGAGGGCAGGAGCCCTTTCGGGCTGGACTCGGGGTCTGGCAGACACTGGCGTGGAAGTTGGAGGAGAGCGGGACTCACCCGGGGCCCCTGCTTGGTGCCCACTGACGGGTCCGCCTCTCTTTGCAGGAGAGAAGCCGTTCAGCTGCAGCTGGAAGGGATGTGAGCGCAGGTTCGCCCGCTCCGACGAACTGTCCCGGCACCGGCGCACGCACACGGGCGAGAAGAAGTTCGCCTGTCCCATGTGCGACCGGCGCTTCATGCGCAGTGACCACCTGACCAAGCACGCGCGGCGCCACCTGTCGGCCAAGAAGCTGCCCAACTGGCAGATGGAGGTGAGCAAGCTGGGCGACGTCGGCCTGCCCCCCGCACCCGCGCAGTGACCCCCGGTGCGATGAGGTCACGGCTCGCTTTGTCCGGTCCCGCGGGAGAGGAGGAGGCTCTCCTCAGAGAGGGCACAGGGCTCCGGGAGGAATCGGAGCGCAGTGTCGCTTCGCCTGGCTGTCCGCACTGAGGCGGCGTCTCACCGCGGTCCTCCGAGCGCTGGGCCTGGAGCGGAGGCCGCGGTGGCCCGGGTAGCTCTGACGGCGCCCTCCCACCTTGGCCGTCTCAGGAGTTAGACCTCGCGGGACGCCGTTCCCACTGCCGATCTCGGGGTGGAGGCTGCGTTAATTTCATTTGCTCGGAGGTGGGGCAGTTTCTCTGCATTATTGTTTTGAAAGTTTAACTGCGACTGTACTTAGGCATTTTATTATGCTTTCGACTTTAGTTTGCCTGCAGTTTCCTGTGTAGATTTGAAAGTTGTATCCCAGTGTGTTTTCTGTGGACTCACAGATACGTTCATTGCACTTTGTTTAGAAGATAAATATGTCGTAAGAAGGGACATCAGGAATTTCAGGTGACCCCTTGAAGACGATGGCTTTTGTTGTGAGCAGGCTGATGTTCGGAGGATGTGTGTGCTTCCTTGGGTTAGAAGGCCCTGCTGAACCTAGGTGATCTCAGACTTGGAAGGAGGGGTAGAACGTTTTTAGAACGTTCAATTTTGTTAGCAGTATTTGTTTTTTTTTGTTTTGTTTTGTTTTTTGTGCAGTGGGTGATATACACAGTGGAGGGGGGATAAACTGTTTAAGTACATAGTGAAAAATCCACTACATTTGCACATTTAAAATTTTGTCTATTTTTGGTGTAGAGAAATTTCTGACATCAAAACTTGGACCCTTGGAAGAATTTTGTGTTAATTAAAAAAAATCCTCGTGACAATTTGCACAATATTTTGTTGTACTTGTTGTTTACAATAAAGAATTTCCTTTGCTATACATAATAGACTTGTATTTTTTTTTGTTTGGTTTTCTCTTTGGTGTTTTGAGACAGCTCTCACTGTGTAGCTCAGGCTGGCCTCGAACTCCTGTGATCTTCCTGCCTCAGCCTCCCAAGAGCTGAGGTTACAAGTGTGCGCCATCAGGCTTGGTGCAAAAGCAACACCTGTGAATGTTGAAATGTCTCATGTTCATTTTGACGAAGAGGTTGAAATACAGCTCTGGCTCTCAGCAAAGCCTTGAGCAGGGGTATGAAGGTGAGGAGGTGCACAGTGACTGACTTCGCCCCTCGCAGGGGGACTGCTGCAGCACAGAGGGCAGGGCGCATCCTAGGAGGGAGCCATTCCTGCTACGAGCTGCGTCAACTCAGGGAAACACCAGGACTGCTCTACCATACCCGTAATCCCTTCCCTCAGGAGGCTGAGGTTGGAGGGTCACCGTGAGTTCATAACCAGCCTGAGCTACACATAGCGAGAACCAGTCTTAGCCAAACCAAACCAAAGTGAGAACACCCACGCGGTGTGGGCCCTGGCCACTGCTCCGGACTCGCTCACAGCCAACACTGGGGTCCAGCAGGCAGGGCCCACACATCTGCACACCCATCGCTGCTGCTTCTGGTGACTGATCCCCTCCATGTGACAGCTGTTGGGAACGGAACCCAGGCCCTCCTGACCCGGAGTCCCTGGGGTGGGGTGGGGGGGTTGCTGGGAGATGGCGCTGCTGTTCTCAGCCCTGCCGTGTCGTCCCAGTCCTGTTGGTGTTACCCATGCAAGTTGGCGTGAGTGGAGGCACCGGGCTGACACCCATGTCTGTCTGCAGCACCTGAGTGTGGGGCCCTTGGCACTGCACCCCTGACCCATTCCTGTCTGACGGAAGAGGCAGTTGATGGTGTTCAGCTACCACCAGTGGATTTCTTGAGATGATGAGACTTAAGAGAAAGTCACAAAAACAAGAGTTCGGACATGTCTGTTCTTTGTTCAGCTTTCTTTTCCAGTGTTTTTGAGATGGCTCACTATCCCAGGCTGGCCTTGAACTCAAAGCCATCCTCCTGCGTCAGCCTCCTGTGTGCTGGGATGAAGGCATGGGCTGCCACACCCAGCCATTCAGCTGTCACGTTAACACTGCTGTGGAACCCACACAACTAAAGTGAGCTGTGACACAGCATGGCAAGTCGAGCAGAACCCTGAGTCACATTGGGTCCCTGTTACCGGACTCCTCCATGCGTTCCCAGAGTCCTGCGTCTTGCCTTAGGAATGGCACTTCCTGTCCTCTCGGAAGCCCCCAGGGCTGGGCCTGCTGGGTGTCAGTCCCTGGCACTAACCTGTATCCTGTGAAGCCGGCCTGCTACGCCGTGCCAGGGGATGCTGCTGGAATTGTCCGCTGTGAGCTGTTTTCCTTTGTGAATATCAGCTACTCAGAGGGAGAGACTTCACAACTATGCGATCAGCCTATTGATGCTTAGGACCCCCTTTAGAGTTCTGGCTGAGATGGTCATGCCTGGGATCTAACTCCTGTTTATTCACCGAAATGCTCTAGAGTGTTGCTGCTTCTATTTACTTGCATTATTTTGAGACAAGGTCTCAAGGTCTTCCCCATGCATTCCAGGCTGGCCTTGAACTCACTGTGTAGCCCAGGCTGGTCTCCAACTTGCTGTGAAACTCCTGCCTCAGCCTCCTGATTGCTAGTGTTACATGCAAGTGCTACCACACCTGGCTTCCATTTATTTCTTACTAAGTTACATTAGTAGGGACTGAGACGTGTCGCTCCTTGCGTTATATTGAGCGCTTGTTTGGTATCTCAGTTTTCCCACTTTGGCCCTGGTTAGTGCTTCCAGTTTTCACTGTTTTTGACCAACAAAGATGAGCATTGTCTATGGCGTGGCCTTTGCGCTCTCACCGGGCTGAGAGCTATTTGGTATTAGTGATTCTACTTTTTAGAAGTTTTCTCCCTATGCTATCAGCACTTGTCTGATCTACCCAGCCCCTGTCCCCTTCCCCAATGCTGCTGTCCTTCCAGGGCTCCCGGCTGCAGGCTCCAGGCTCACTGCAGTATTCTGAAGATGAAAATCTGTCATCCTCTCGGGAGGCTGAGGCAGGAGGATCACTGGCAGTTCAAGGCTAGCCTGGGCTGAACAGTGAGGTCAAGACCAGCTTGAGCACACAGACCCTGTCTCCAAAACGAAGACCTGGTCTGTGTCACAATCTTGGCTGGGAGCAGCCACGTCTTGGGGCCCCGGTGGCCACGGTGGCAGATGGCTGTGAAAGCACCATGGTCTTGGAGGCCCTGGTGCAGGGCCTGCTTGCAAGCCACTGTCCCGTGCACTTGAGAACGCGTCCCTGCCTGCACCTTGCCCACCCTGGCTCTGTGCCGTCTCACGGTGGTCAAGCTCCAGGTGGACGAGGCCACTGCCCGGCTCCTTGATCACCGTGGCATCTCATGCGGCAATGCCCAACAGGTGGCCGAGTCCAGTCACTTCTGCTGGACGAAGGCTTGACCGGGGCAGCTGCTCTGTGACACACGGGGACGGAGCCAGGAAGTGCTCATGGCTGCTTTCTTCCATCCCATCACTCTGCGTGCGTGTAGGACCACTGACCCCACCTCCCAACCTTTTCTTTTTTATGGGGGAACTGAGCCTGGGGCCTTCACTTGAGCTACATCCCCAGCCATTTTTACTTTGAGACAGGATCTCACTAAGTTGCCAGGGCTGGGCTCAAACTTGGAACCTTCCTGCCTCAGCCTCACGAGTGCCGGGATGGTAGGTGTGTGCCACCGTGCTCAGCTTTTGTCTTCCAGACTAAGAGGTGGCTTCCGGGAGGGACTCAGGAGTCAAGCGCCTGCCTGGCACCCTGGGGCTCTGGGATGTGTTTCCTGGAGATATCTCTTGTGCATAGATTCTCCTGCATCTCTAGTGAGGCCAGGAGGAAAGTGGACAGGGGGTGGGCGTGCCAAGGCTCCCACTGGCCTCTGTGGGTCTGACTTGGGGCCCGGATGGTGGGAATGTGGCCTCTGCATCAGCCCACCTTTCTCGTGGGGGACACTCAGCAGCGGGGACTTCTGCCGAGGGTCCAGGCATCCACAGAGCCGAGCAGAATCTGGGGAGATGACATGGGATCCCCTCGGGGAGCCTTTCTCCTGGAGCCCCCTCATTGCATTCGGTGCCTTGAGGCAGTTTAAGGACCACAGTCCTGTGAACAGCGCTGCCTCCAGCTGCATGGCGGGCGGAACGATGCACTGGGCGTGCACAGAGCAACCCAGAGACATGGCGCGTCCCGCGAGGTTCCCCAGGGAAACAATCAGTAACCCAAGCAGAACATCTCTGTGCACCAGAACTCACGCATATGTGGCAGAGGAACTGATTCTTAGGCACCAGGGTTTAGGGCCTGGTGAGTCCTCAGTGGCAAGCAGCAGTCCATGGTGTGTTTCCTGTGCAAGCACAGCAGGCCTGAGGCCTCGCCCCGTGTGGCAGGGAGAAGGGTGTCCCAGCAGCAAGTCTTCTCTGGCCCAGCTCTCCTTCCATGCCGGCCTTTGCTGACGGGTTGCAGACCCCACATAGGGAAGGCGCTGTCTTTGCTCAATCTAGTGCTGGTTATGCTCTGTGCTTTAGCTCTAGCACACCCCAAAAGCCTCGTGTGTCCAGAAGTGGGGTTTTCAGAAGGCGACCGGGTGCAGGGGAGCTGTACTCACCTGGGGTCTGATCGTTGGAGGTGTGGTTAGGAGGCAGGGCCTGGTCAGAGGAGGTGCTCCTTGGGGTGTGACCTGGAGGGTGTGTCTCCTTCCCTAGCTTCCTTCCCTTTCTACCTGCTGGCTGCCACCATGTGAACAGCCTTCCTCTGCCAGGGTTTTCCACCGCAGCTATCCATGGACCAAATCCCCCTAAACCATGAGCCCAATGAAAATTCCCCTCCTTTAAGTCGTAGGTGTTGGGAAAGCTGACTATTACCCACCGTGGGCCAGTTTATCGCTCTAAGTCTCAATGTCCACCTTTGAAAATGGGACTCACAGAGCCCCTGGCAGGTGCTAGTAAGGTTATTCACCAAGGGCCTTGGAAAGCAAACACAGTCCTTGAGTAGGGCACTGTCCCAGCACCGCGTGCAGAACACGTGGCAGTAGCAAGTCCATCAAATGCTTACTCAGGTGGCCACTTACTCAGGGAAAGGGAAGCCACCTGGCACTGGCTGGTTAGGGAACTTTGATACCCGTGGCTTCCGTGCTTGTCTTACTGCTGCGCAGTGAGGACACTTGGGCAGAAGGGCGAGCACAAACGGTTTGCTAGGCCGCCCTGAGCATGTGACTCATTTGACTAAAGCACGGGCGTGAGCAGAGCCGCCCGAAGCAGCTGCCACCTGCCCTGAGTCGGTCAGCCCCCGAGTTCCTTCGCGCCCCTTGAGCCAGCTGGAGTGGATTCTCCGTGTGAGCTCAGCCAGTTCCGGACAAACCCCCGATCTCGGCTAAAAATGGTGAGTTTCGCCCAGAGCTTCCGGAATCAGACCCCAGGGGCTGAGGGTCAGTACCTGTGCCAAAGCCTCTTCCCAAAGAAGGCTGCCAGGCCACAGCACGTGGTTTCCCGTGGGCACACGGAACTTGGGGCGCTCACCTGTGGCCTGTTCAGCGGAAAGAGCCAGCAGCAGGTGCCTCCCCTGCGGTGGGCGCCCTCCTCTCCACTGAGCTCCGGGCTGTGCCCCACTGAGGGCAGGGTGGGAATCCCGCTGGCTGCAGGATGCCGAAACAGTCCTGAACGTGAAAAGGGGGTGCCAACACAAAACAGGAAAATAAAAAATAAAATAAAAAGGAGATGCCTCTACTGCTCCTATTTCTTGGAAGAGTTTAATTCTAAGCTCAGCCACTCTCAGGGGAAGCAAAGCCTGGGTTTGGAAGAATCGCTGTGGAATTCTGTGAAGAAAATTAAAAGTCAAGAAATAACTTGAAGTCAACAAGCGACGG